ATAGGTGGATGGGGAGAGTTGAAGTGGAGGCAGTCCCTTACCTTCTTCCAAGAATGGCTTGGATCCAGGTGGGTCATCACCTAATGACCATGTGGGATTCACTCAATGACAGCAACTGGGATTGCCGGAACCACCATCACTAAGTGAAGCAGTCACATATTTTGCCTAATGACCACATTGCTTAGCAACAGAGTTGCCAGTCCCAATTAGAGTCATTAAGTGAGGACTACCTGTACTTTTAATTAGCACACAAAGAGTTGCTTAGTCAAGGTAATCTCTTCCTTGTTTTCTCCACAAAGCCACAGGTACTTTCTTTGCCTAGTGATAAGGAGCTTTCTGCTGACCCCAGTTAGATAATTATTTCCCACTTTTGCCTTTACTAGGGGCCCAATTCCTGCTAGAAAGCTATTAAAGACCTGGTTATTCTCCCAGGCTCTGGGACAGAACAAAGGTTGGATGGACTTTCTTTGGTTTTATATTGTTTCTAGGGCTGTTGACTATTCTTTTTTTGCGTTTTGTACTTTTTAAAAAAGCATTTAATTTAATTCTGAATTAAAAACTGAGCCTCAATTAACTTGACTAGTACTTGCAGTTATCATTCAGTAATGTCCACATTTGGTCAAGAAATTTATTATTCCTGAAAAAGACCCTGAATCTTTGTCAACTCTCCATAAGAACATTCTTTGATACTTGTATGGATATAACTTTTATCAGTCTAAGTAAATGAAGTAGAGCTTTTATTTAGTATATACTTTCCAATAGGCTTAAATTATATTTAAATGCTTTGACTAATAATAATGCACTTTAAAACAGTTTAAGAGTGTTATTATTAGTTACAGAATTTAAATACACATTCATTTATAAACAAATGAGCCACAAAATGTTTTTAAAAGGTTGTCTGCCTACAAATATGGCAAACATTCTAATTATCCAATGAAACTCTTGTTGGATGGCTGAGATTGAAATGCCAAAAACTTCATTTTGGAAGCTTTCATTTTATAAAAGAAATTCAGTAGTGAACTGTCCCTGAAGCCATTCTAATATGAATTAAAATAATTTCTAATATTAATAGCAATCAAAATGTAATGCTGGTTTTGAGAAGTGACAGCACTCTTATGTTTTAAGTATTTCTTGAATGCAAATAGCATAGCTTTTAAGACAGAAAAACATTCCCATGAATAAATTAGTACAAGAAATTTTAAACAAGCTTGCAAAATGCTGCTTGACTGCATGCTTTCCTAGTTCTGTTACCACCAGTTAAGTTGTTTTCCACTGAAAACCTTATCTTCTCTTAATAGTCTTATATATGTTCATTTTATCTTATATTAAGGTGAACTTTTCTTTTTGAAAATCTGACAGTTTTATAATATTTTATATAATATTTAATAGGATCTAGGAAATGTGGACCACTGTGAACTCGGAAACATATTCTTTGACCATTTTAAAACCTGAAAGAATGGTAGAAAAGAAATGATTAAAATAGCCTAGTTGAGTTGTGTCTATCTTAAGCCTACATCTTGTATTTTTCAGTTTGAGAATCCAAAGTAGGTGGAAAGAAAAATGCTTAAGATTATTCTTATAGGATCAGATTGGAATGATAATTTCAATAATTTTCATTATTTTATTTCTAGGTCAACAACTTTAATTAATGGTCCACTTGATATTCGAAATTCATATTCAAAGCATATAGTTTCAACAAAGAACTACCACAACAGGAACACCCTAAGACTTGGGAACAGAGATTTCAGAAATAAATCCTATATAGATCCATCATTTAGTTGTGGAAATTAGCACCAGAGCAAGAAAATACTGCCTGGTTAGGGAATATGGCATCTAAAAATATAACGTATGCCCATAGACTTATGTCTATTCTTGAAAAATAAAAATGGTCTGTAGCTATGGCCAAGAGTTTTAATTGATAACCCCCCCATTGTAAAAGCAAGGGTAGTAAATGATATCTTAGGGTTTATTTCTTATTTACCAGGCTTATATACCACTCCAATCTTAACTCTGAGTAGCTTATAGACCTACAAATAGTACTAGGATCAAAGCAATATACAACACCACCAATAATAACACCCGGACAATGAGGAACAGCTCCGATACACACACATGCACGCACGCACACACACATTTCAGAAGGGACCAAATACAGCCCCTCAGACCCCAAAAGTACATTGAAACAGCCAGGTCTTATTTGCCTACAGAAAGCCTGAAGAGTTGGGGCTAGTCTGGCATCTAGGGCAAAGTTCTTCACAGAAAAAAGGCAGATGCTGAGAAGGCCTGCTCTCAGGAATCTTCCAGATGGTATTCCCTAGTGGTCAGTACTTGGAGAGAGCCTTCTCTTCCAGATTGTAATAGTATGTGGGAATGACCTTGGGAGACAGCGGGAAAAGCCACAGCCAGGGCAACTCAGAGATAACTTAGCCTGCAGAAGAACTCCACACTTAAACACATTAACCCTATAAACCATGTAAATTACTTGTAAATTCATACTGAAATATCACAAACCTATTTCCTCCACACTTAACTAGCTAAACTCCAGGTTTTAAAAAAATGGTTTCAACTGTTGATGTAGCACTTGGATATAAATCTAACTTCAAGAGCAGACTTCCTATTCATTTTCATTGCTGCTTTGATTCATTTTATTATCAAAACCTTTGTGTGATGTCAAATTTCATTACAAGAAAATGAGCAGTTCTTGTCTCTACTAAAAAAGGAATCAGTGGAAATTGAGCACTGCATTACACTACTGTAGAAGGAAAAAAAGCAGGAGGAGGAATTAAACAGTACTGAAGGGGAAAATGAACAAGTATCAGTCAAGAAGTAGTTCTTGCGATCAGAATAATGATTGGCAGACAGACTGGGAAGTCCCTCTTGATTTTGCCTTTCAAGGAAGCAGCACACTATTCACTGAAGCATTCAAAATAAAGTTCATATTTTGCCTCACAAAATTGTTTATGCCTCACAATCCTCTGTTACTTGGGTTTTTTTTAAAAAAAGAAACAAAATGGCAGTCTGGATTTACCAAAACCATGTTGGATTCATATAGCTGATTGCTATCTGGAGCTTCCTAGGTTTTGCCTATTTTGGCAACTGTAATTTTTGACTGGCTTTTAAAATACCATTCTAGTTCTGAAGGCTAATGAGGTACAGTGAATGTTTAAAATATGGTAAGTTTAATTAAAAATGCAAGGTTCTTGGGTAAATAATTATGTCAGAAAGGCAGAAATAATGGAATGTTGAATTTATAGCACCATTTCCTTCCAAGAAGCATATTCCATTCCTTTCTACATGTAAATAGCCCTTTCAGTCATGAGACGCAAATTCAGTTGAATTTGCCCTTGCTGTTAATACATGTTTGAATACATTTTAATATTATTAGTGATACACAGAACAGGATCACTGCATTTATATTATATTTTGGCCTAATCCTTCAAACCTTGAATATATACACATACCTATATACACATACCTATGTAGAACCACTGAAAGCTACCTTCACACAATATATTTGGTCATTTTCAGACATCATTTCCCCTTTTATACAAAAATAAATACTACAAGGTGGTGTCAGATTCTGATGCAAAGCTGACAATACAAGAAATAAGTATAGTAATAGCAGCCCCTCTCTGAAGGTTTAGGAAATATAATTGAACAGAATGGACGAGCTTAGTACCTATAAAATCTATATTTTAGTAGTTTTACTATAATTGTACTAACTGGCAAAATGGCATATAATGCTTTAATTTTGTTTTTAGTGCAACTGACAGTAGTTGAACGTACAGTTTTCCACTTAATTACTTATTCTGAAGAAAAGCTGTATTCTTGAGGCCACCATACAGTGAAAAGAGCTGATATACACAACAAGAATCAAAGATGGTAAGTTGGTACATCTTGGCAAGAAACTATAAATCAGGAGAAGGTTGCAAGCTATAGTTGTACCATAACTGTTGTTCTTTTTCAGTGTTTC